GCAAAATCAAGCAAAACTATAATTTGATTTTGTTGAAGATTTTCTTTCTGAATTCGAAGGAATAAGGACTGTACCTTTGAAATAAAATGGTGCACGTGCAAGTTTTTAATAATAGAAACTATTTCTTCCAGAAACTCCTCTAAAGTTACAATACTAATAGCATTCTTCTTTTTTAACCACTGTTTTTACGGCACTATAACCTCATATTCAAAACCATTTTGATTGAAGATATCACATATACTATTTTAAGTTTTGAAATCAACTTTTTATTTTAAGATATGAAATCAACTTTGAATTTTGGTGTACTTGACAGACACAAACTAAATGCTCACCCAATGCACTATCTACTGTTACACACTATTTTGGATGAAGCTGACAAAATATTGAAAATTCTATTTTCTCTCCTCTTTTTAGAAATTCTAAATGTAGCTCTTTTAGATTCACAAGTAATAATCGCTTTTGTAGATTTTGTTTTTAACCATTGATTTTAACTGAAACAAATTCTTTCTTACCAGGATAAATTCGAGAATATTCATCACACTGATAAAAAATTCTAGTAATTTCTTTACACTCTTCTAGGATACCCTTAGTTTACGTGCTTAGATACGCTTTTAATTTACATGCTTTTTACCATTGACTTTGGTACAGAAAAGTATTTTACTGTTTGTTGGATTGTCCAACTATTTGGTGTTAATGTTAATAGGTTTATTTTTTCATTTCTGTTGGATTTAGCAATTTTTTGCTTTGTGGCTTCACAAAATAAATCTAAACTAAATAGAAATTTCATTATTGGAAATTCCCAAATTTGAAAATAATGTTTTGCAAGAATTTGAAACCTCCTTTAACTTTTTTTTTTATGTAACTGGGTCTGTCTTGAATAGACACTGATTTTAACGGAGAACAACCCAACATCCTGAACTTGCAATATCAGAACCAGTCGGTTCTGAAATTCAATGTATGATGTATTGCTTTCATCATTGATTCTATTGTTTTCAATAGTTTTATCTTTCTTACGACAAGTTCTACAGAGTTTTTGACCTGGGCATAACCATTTTTAAAGCAGTTTCTTAATTGATTGACTGAAGAACCAAAGAGATTCTAAAAAAAAAAAGAAAAGAAAATCTATACAATTATTACAATTTTTATTAAAAATATAAAACCTTTTATAAACATAAAACTTGTTAAACATGTCCATCACAATTTTTTTTGTCATTAACATAAAGCAATGACAAAAAAAAAAAAAAAAAAAAAAAAATAATTTTTAACTTAAAAACTTTCAGAAAAAAATTTTTTGTAAGATTTTTTTACTAAGGTTACTAAATATTTTTATGGACTTTATTTACACAACAATACCTTCGTGTAGTTTCATAACGTGCAAGGAACATCTTTTTATGATGAAAGTATATAGAACTACAGTCATTTAAAGTTATATCACATCTCCAAGCAAGAATTTTTTTTCTACTTCCGTAAAGCTTTGAATAACTCTTATGCCAACCACTTGAGTAAACAAAGTTTTATGGCAATCAAGGTTTAGTAAAACTCCAGTATTAAATTTTTTTTTAAAATTTTTTTCTATTATGATAGAAAGTTTAAGTTCAGATATCTCAGCAGCTACAAGACATACTAAAAATATTTTTTCTGTATTTCTTCTTCTTACATTGAAGACACATTCCTAAAAGTTTCAAGTGTTAAATTTACTGGAACCCAGTTATTTTTCAGTTCTAAAATAAACCTAATTTTACCATTTTAAAGCTGGAGGCATTTTTAGGGGGGTCTAACTTCTATAATTTTAAATCCAATGTTACAAAGCATATTATGAAGAATGACTACCACCTATATTCTCACAAAATAACATAATTTTCACATTTGCTTGTGTATTTCGCTTTCATTTGCTTTATTAATATTGAAATTTTTTCTTTAAAGTGTTTTTTTTTATAACTTAGAAGATCAAGATGGCCAAAGAATAATTATTTTTGTAAAATAAATTTTTATTTTTTGAAAGTTGAGGTAGATCACTGCTATCAGATTGATTTTTAAGTATTTAAGATAATTGGTTTTTTATTTATTTAGATTTGAAAATGAGACTTTTTGGAAAAAAACAATAAACTGCTTGAAATGCAAGACATTTATTTTTCAAACAGCCATAATTTTAGAATGCTTCAACATAATGAGTTGAAATTTTAGGGAAATCTTATTTTCCATAAAACCTATAAGGAGTATAAATTTCAGGAAAATCTAAAATGGTCACCCGGGAAGGTTTGGCTCATTTTATATGGAATGACCCCATACTGATGAGCTGTTCTGCGCTAAACTTTTTAAAAAACGGCTATTTTCATAGCCACAATTTATTAAAAACATCCATTAGAATAGAACGTTGAGAAACTTTGAAAAAAACGAAAGAGCCAAGAATCAGATGATAACAGATTTGTTTATCATATTTAATGATATTGTTTATAATTAAAACATGTTAGCGATATAGTTTGTAAAATTCTATTAAATATCGGCGCTTTTTGTTTTTTGAATAAAATTTTCCAGACTTATGTAGTTTTCTGGATAAGGCTAGAATTATTCCAGATCAACCGAAAAAAATATAAAAACCAAATATTTTTCTTTTGAATACAGAAATAAAAATTTGATTTCTTTTGACAAAATCAGTTCAATATGTTGAATCCTGACTTATTAATAAGCCTATTTCCTAATTTAGTATTAGAGCGACGCATAGTGACATATCAAGGTAAAAAAACAAAAACAACCTGTCAATTACTATCAGATCTGAACATACATCTTTAAAAAAAAAAGTAAACTAAAAAATAAGGTACTGCAGTTTAAATTGTTTGTTCCAATTATTCTGATTTGATATGCAAAGCTAACAAATAAAAAAAACAAACTAGAATTGCTAAATGTTATTTACTACCAAGTATATCATCCAAGTACTGCAATATTTAATTATTTAAACACATTTAACAGCTTTAATAACCACAAATAAAAACGACTATAATATTTTTACTAAGGTCTATATTATACAAGCCTTCCCAGGAAAGTGTGCGGTTTTTTGTCTCATATGACCACACGCGATTATATTATTTTAGAAAACGTGAACACAGCCAATTGTAAGTTTTATAATAATGCTGAAAAAGTTTTAAAAACAAAAAAAACAAAAAAAACTAACAAAATAAAAAGAGGTTGAAATAGAAAAAAATAAAAACAAATTTAAATAATTTGTGTACTGTTTTTCTTTTTGTTTCTTTAGAGTTACATTCAGCAACAAAATTAGATAAGGCAAAGCAAAAAAAAAACAGTTTAAAGTCTACAATAAAAAGAAAGATTTTCCTTTTCTTAATTTTTTTTTAAGAGGATAGCAAAAATACAAATTGCAATGTGTTTGTAAAATTTATTTGTATAATTTTAATGTAACATACATTAAAACGCAAAATCTGGAAAAATATCTAGTATTCAAAATTTTAATTTATACAAAACCGTGTTCCCTGTTTTTAAGGGGAGAATTAACTTGAATTTGTTAGCGAAAAAATAAAAAATAAAACAATAAACTTACAACTACAAAAGTATAACACTCTAGCCACTAACTGCATTACAAGAGTAATAACACTATAATAGTGTTATTACTTTTATAATGCACTTATATTACTTTTAAAATTCATTCTTTGTTCAAGCAACATTAGTATTCCCAAATTTTAATTGAGGTAGAAAAATATCTAGAAGAACAAAGTGGATGTTCAAATAATATTAAAACTAAAGTAACTTATTAAAACGTGACAAACAACTTTATGAAAACGTATCGCATTAAAAGTTTAGCATTATGAAAAACATTACTAATGGACTGTAAAAACGCACGTTAATTTTTAAATTAACCAATAAAAATTTTTTATTGGTTGATTTTAAAATTAACGCGCATTTTTACGTTACGTTTTTCATAATGCTATACATTTTATAAAGTACTTTTTTATAACATTGTTTAAGTGGTATGTGAAAGTTCCTGAAATTTTTAATAATATTTGAATATCCACTTTATTTTTTCCAGATGCTTTTCTACTTTAATAAATGTTTGGAATTAATAATGTTGTTTGAACAAAGAATGAACTTTAAAAGGAATAAGTGCTTTATAAATGTAATAACACTATTATAGTTTTATTACTTTTATAATGCAGTTAGTGACTAAAGTGTTATTACTTTTGTACTCGTAAGTTTATTGTTTTTGTTTTGTTTTTTGTAACTTTCTTGCTAGCAAACTTTTAATAATTTGCTCCTTATAAACAAAGTACACAGCTTTGCATAAACTAAAATTTTAAAGTCCTAATATTTTACCAGAGTTTGCAAATTGGAATCGTATAATTTAACTCTTGATAAAAACTTGTTACATTATAATTATACAAATATATTTTACAAACAGATGACGATACATATTTTCTAATTTGTTTTTGACAGATAATGACACGGAACTTTTTAATAAATATAAAAATTATTATGAGCTAATTATTTAATGTTAAAATAAATATTAATCAATAATACAAATGAAAATAAATTTATTTTTAGTACCAAATATTTGTGTGAAAGCTATATCAATTTTGACCTTTAATAAACTTAGAAAAAATAAAATTTTCTACATTATATTTAACAATTAAAAGGACAATATACTTGTTGTACCACTGACTAAATTGCCCTACAATGCATGTATTACACTGTATATCCACTATCTTACTCCAAAATGTTTGATAGCATATTCTGTTTGAGTAAATGCCCAATAATATATTACTTGTAGTAAACTGCTCTACCAGGACCTACATGCAGCATAAAGCTCTCTATATATAGCTATTGATTTATAATATATAACCTTCTAATTTATGACATTTAATACCATTACTTATATTTCTTTTTTTTTAGATTTTAATTTTTTTTTTATATGAACTTTTATTTTGATATATTAGAATTAAAGATAATTATAATAACAAATGAACGAGGGACAAAAAAAATATTGTAAAAACCTGAACAACACCAAGTTCTCCATTGTTTCCAGCTGCTCTGCACAGCACAACACGAGTGTCACCAACATTTGCAACAAACAGCCGGGTATTATGGATGAGTGCTATTGCAGCAGAACAGCCACCTGATACTTCAGCTTTAAGTTCATTAAGTTGCTCAGATAGTTGAGGGTATTCTTGTTGCACCAAGTATGGTTCTAAACCCTATATTCAAAATTAAAGCTTCATCACTATATAAAAAAAAATTATGACAATGTATTAGGATGGTAAGAGTATGCAAAAATCAAACATTATTAAAAACAATTGTTATAGTACAAATCTATTAAATTACAATATATCATTTAGCTGTTGTTAAGAAAACAAATATTTTCGGCTATTTTAAATTGTTATAACATATAGTAATTATTAAAATAAGTATACAAACTTCAAAAACGTAAAAATTAAAATTGGGTACAATATTTTTCAAAAACTTTTTTCTTGAAGTAGTTGAACTTTGCATAGCCATGTTTACACAATATTTCAGACAAACATTTTTAATAAATAAAATAAATGAGCAACCATGGTGCAGTGGTTAGAGCGCAAGCTTTAAAAGAAAGAGATCTGGTTCAAAACGTGCTTTTAACACATTTTAGCATCACTGGTCATTAAATGCTCTTCCACGGTGCTCTGTGAAAAGACTGTTTTCTCACGGTGCTCTGTGAAAAGACTGTTAGGTCTTCTTTAAGCATTTAAAACAAATTAAAAAAAAAATAAAAAACTTATTTTCAATAAAATTTAAGTTCATTCAATAAATTTTGATTTTAAAAAGTTTTTAAAAAAACATTTTCTAATTGACAGGTCTATTTTGGGTCATACTAGACCCAAACAAAATGTAACCTCTCTAGCCTCTCTTTATTCCCTCCTCCTCTACTTCCAAAAAAAAAAAGAAAAGAAAAAAAATCTGTACTTCAACATCATTTTTTATATTATTATATCATCCGACCAAAAACCAACAAGTAAATGTGATAGATAATGAAAACAAGTTAGTCAAAAGAATGAGCAAGAAACAATCAGATATTTGTATTTGATATATATTTAAACACTTCAGTTGGGTAAAACGAAATATTAACATTTTTAAAGAATACATAGTTTTCATCTTGGTTTTCATTATTATTTAGAAAAATTATTTTGATGAAATGTGGCGGCTTTTTAAACTGTGCTCCAGATGAATATATGATGGACAGCTAATCCTATTTTCTTCAAAAGTCTACTAGCCTTTACTAGTGTGTTTGGCTGTTGAGTTTTGTTCAGCTTTTGTTAGGGTTCCCTCAAGATTAAATGCAACTATAGTTAGTAGTTTTTTAACTAAGTTAAAAAAATTCCTCTGAATACTATACTTTGTAAAAAGAATAGCCTGTCAATCAAGAATAAGATTTACATTGATAACACCTTTGCTAAAAAACACTTAAAAAACATTCCATAAAGTAGGCGTCAAGCAGACCTCAATGATTAAGTGACCTCTTTAAATTCTTGCTAAATATGAAAAAGTCTATACAATCACAATTAGGCATAAATATTTCTATGATGCTATAAATTAAAAAAAGCTTTAAGAAAGTAAAAAAACTATGTAGTATGTAATAGTTATAATTGTACATGCTATTGCTTTAAAATAAACAAATAAAAATTGAAGATAGAAAAATCTCAAGATGCTGGACTAAACTTTTAGTTGATTAGTAAAAAACTATTTAAATCATCAGTCATTTAATCAATTAGTAGAAAATTCATACGATATCAACTTATTGATTTTTTAAAGTTGAATAATTTTGATCTTTGACTAGTTGACTTTTAATCGATTTACTTGAAGTTCATAACAACACTAATAAATACACATTTTTGTAACAATTTTGTAACATATTTTTAGCATAGCTTTTTAAGTTTTATTCATAAATATTCTATGATCATGTAATCATGATCATATGATAACTTTAGGATGCCAAAAAGAATATGATAAAGAAGCTGAAAAATATTTAAGAATATTTATATAACGTTGTAATACAGATTTTTAGGTTATTTTATTAAATTTTCATCCACTAGAAAGTTATATTTTATGTCTAATTTAGTTAATTATAATCCATTTAAATTAATCATAACATCATATAATAACTGTAGGCACCAAAAAGGACAATAAAAAGGGCAAAACTTTGAACTAAATAGAAAATAATTTAATAAACTCTAAAAATGACTAAAACACTTGAATGCTGTCAAAGACATTTTGCCAACCATTTTATTATGATTTAATGTATAACTTTTTTTTTCTGTATAAAATATTATTTTTTGTTTATATAAACAAAGTTTGTTACATAAACAACTAACCAACTGAAAACATTAATTTAAGAGCATGTTTGAAAATCTTATGCTCCAAATGAACTGTGCAAGTTTGATTGGAAGTTAAATAAATGACTAAAAAATACTTTAAAATATTTTGTATTTTCCTCCATGTTTTTAAGGTTTAGCTAAAAATGAAACAATAGATGTTAAAAATGTGTGTGCAAATTTTTTATAACAAAATGTAAAGGAAAAAATAATACAATATGCCTAAAAGTAATGGTTTTTATTATGCAGAAATTCTATACCCCGATTGACAAAAAATTACCTAAGTGATTCTTTTGTTGACATTTATGCAAATTTTTATTGAATCTGCCAAAACTTATATTGAGAGAAAAATACGATTTTTAAATAATCTAACAAGATTCTTTGTCTGTTGTATATAAAAAATGTAATATAACAGACAAAGTTAGACAATTTTTCATTTCATTTTTGCTTATAGTTATTGAAATTTTTTTAAATCAAAATTATATTTACCAATACCAAAACAATTCTTTATTTTTAAATGTAATTGCAAAGCTCACTACCAGCCAGCATCAGAACTATAAAACTCAGTTTTGGAGCTGTACCCAATCCTGTACCAGGAGATGATAAAGAATTTTACTCTCATTCAAAGACAAACTTAAACAATTTATTCATGAGTTTTACTTGTTCCTACACAAGCTTAACAGGTAAAAAATATAAAGGGTACTAACAGGCTATAGATAAAAAAAGAAGCTAAAAGGCTGATCATTAAATAGATGCTTTTTTCCATCAATTAATTGGCTTAAAAGTGTTTTACCTTTAAGCCTAAAAAGTGTTTTACCACCTATATGTGATACAATTTTTTGTTTATCTAAGATTCTTTAAAAAGAAAATCATATTGCAAAATATTGTGACATTAAGACCATGCAACATTAACCCACTTCTTTTTAAACTTTTTCTCAAAAAAGGTTTTTCAAAAAAATAATGTTTTATCCTGATATAAAGCTATTCAATATTAGAAATTGTTTTCCATTTTTATAGTTTTTTTTTTTTTTTGCTAACTGGCTTTCTTTGCATCTTCATATTTTCAATTTTTTTTTTACTACTGGTTTTTTTAAGTCAGCTCAAAAATTCGGCTCTGATACATTATTTTATTTACTATATTAAAATTTGATTATTAAAAACTCTGATTCAAATTATTTTATAAGGGCTTTTATTAATATTTTTATTTTTTAATACTATTATTTTTTTTTAAATTTTATATTTAACTTGCAGATTCAACAATCTAAAAGATATATAGATTCAACAATCTAGAAAATACCTAGTAGTCTTAGTTATAGAAGTACAGCTATCGGAACTAATTTTTATGGTAGCTTACAATTTTTTAAAAATTGATGCAAAAACTATATATAATTGTTTCAGAATCATTAATAATATAAAAAAAAATTCATAAAGAAACCTCTACTGCATCTTCTAAAGTAAGCTTTCCTATCAATGCTTGGTTAATGGAATCCATATATTCCTTTGAAGTGTTCTCAAATGTTTCATTCAATTTTTTATATACCTCTTCATCTGTATATATATCTAAACAAAATAATATTTAAACAGAAATAAAGTTTTGAAATTTGAATTAAATGAAACCAAATTTTTATGAGAAAAATTTTTAAAAAGCTAAGAAGACCTACAAAAAATCATAAATAAATTATTTATCATAAATAGAGAAACTTTATTTTTGCAGATCAAAAAAATCAAAGCTTTAATTTAGATCTCAAAATTTACTGATAAAATAACAATAAAAATTATAATAATTAAAATAAATTCTAACAATAACAATTAGGATAGTTTACTCTGTGAAGACAAGTTGCTTAAATAATTACAAATTACGCTAATGAAAAAACTCTTAATAATAATCTTATTTACAACGTATATTAAACTTAAATCTTAAAGTTCATATATCTTAAAGCTAGTCAAACATTAACATACCACTTAACTGCCCAAAACATAGATCTGTTGCAATTTTGTGCTGGGCAAAATGTGCCACTTTTGCCCCATTATGTCCATCAAAAATTCCATACAGAAAGCAATCAAGACCTTTGTAATTAAAAGCTGCATCCTCAAAATCGGTGCTTTCCCCACGTCCACCATCAGCACGATATATTATATTAGATTCATAACCTATAGCAGAATTTTCACACGCTGGAGGATCGAAATTCCAATTTGCAAGCAAATTATCCTGAGAAAAAAAAAACTAAATTATTTGCCCTTTATTTCTAAATAATATTTAAATTTGCAATTAACTTAAAGAATTATTAAAAATAAGTTAAGTTGTTAAACAAATTTTTTAACAACTTAACTTACTGATGGGGGTGAGGTTGATGTTTTTGAGAACCCGCCCCCCTTTTTCCCTAGTTAAAACCGGTGCTGCAACAATGATTTTCAATCATCATTTTTTTAATCATCATTTTAATCATTTGTGTTAATCTTGTTTAGTTTTATCTGAGGATAAGGAGTTGATTTAAAGGCATTTCTTTGAATACATAAATTTAAAGGTGGATGTAACTATGTTAGTTTAGTCACAATAAGAAAACTATTTTACTTAAGAATTTAATAATTGTTTCTGTTGCAATTACCGCGCTATTTGTAAATTTTATTAAGATATAGTAATAGTTATTTTTATTATTATTAAAGTCAAAAAGAATATGGAAAAGAAACAAAACTTTCTGAAAAAGTTTATGTTTCATTTTTTTGTTTTTCTTATGTAAACTAAAATAACAAGCTTAATATCAAAAGTTCATTTATTCAAAAATTAAATTTGTGTGATAGCTATTAAAATTGTTTTTTTTACTTTTGATGGACGTAAATTTTAAGCTCTCTGAAAGATATACTACATCTTAATCCAAAGAGCCTTTGAAATATATAAAACCAAAAAATAAAATAATGATATATACATTCAGATAACTTATTTTACTGTCACTTGCTTGCTTGGCAAACCTGATATTGTGTCAAGTAAATTCAGTCTTCCCTTTAGATAAATTTTAACATTATTTTAGATATTTTGGGAGTGGTTTATTTTCAATTAGGATTACTAGTTTTACTTTGTAAGTTCCTTTAGAAAAAAAGTGGGGGACACTGTATATATATATATATATGTATATATATATATATATGTATATATATATATATATGTATATATATATATATATATATATATATATATATATATATATATATATATATATATATATATATATATATATATATATATATATATATATATATATATATATATATATATATATTGTTGGAATTCAATGTCAAAAATGATTTCGAGATTTCTACAAATTGAATCAGCAATTAGGAAAATATTAGAGCATTTTAATGCATTGAAAATACTACCATTTTATAATGAAAGTAAAACTGCTAGATATTTAGGAAATAGTTTAGAAATTATTGATGCTGGTGTTAATCTTTTGTAGAAGAGATTACTCTTTTTGGAGCTGGAAAAACTTGTAAATTTATTTTAAATTTAAAAGATTAAGATCAAGAAAAACAACAATTAGACACTAGATAATCTCAACACTAGATAATCAGTAATCTCTGTTTATTGTCTGGTATCGGTGCAATACTATACAGTATTGAAATCACACGATACTAGTATCAAAAGTATTGGTTAGGCTGATATTGTTTGGTACTGATAGTATCATTTGGCATCGCAGCTGGGGTCTTCATGAAAATTTGTATTTTACATTTATCAATGATAAGAAATTTGAAATAGTAAATTTATATAATAACTGAGACAATTATAATTGACTCATTTAGTATAATAGAAATTCTTAAAGATTATGGCATATTTATCATTTAATTTCTCACCTGGTATCGTTATTTTAATTAAATAATTATGTATAATTGTGAATACTGACCTTAATTCTGAGGGCTGTGTAGATGTATTTATAATACATTGTTTCTAGTTTAGGATGTTGAATGCTGGATCTTCTTGACTCAATGCATGAGTTAAGCTTGTGTCTCTGTTATTATGACTAGGCAACTCATTCTATTATCCCCTAATGAGGGTCCAGGTCTAAAATTCAATTTTATTATTCTGAGACCGGCTGGTAGTCAGGTTTCCCAAATTCTATGGTAGCTATCAGAGAGGCTGATTCCATAAACAGCTGTAAAATATCGAAGTACTAACAGTGCTATGTTGTGCATTGGTGTCACTGTTCAAACTTTTGGTGTGTATTGTCGAGGCTGCACTTGGATCCCTTTGTCATGGTTTAGGGTTTATTAATAGTAATGAGGTGATTGCTTGGAGTATTAAATAGTGTACTGAGTACTATCTGTGTTTTGAGTCAAGATATTTAACACATAAAAATTGACTAAAGTATCACAAACTATAAAACACAAAAAACCATCAAGTTCTTTAAATCTATCATTCACAAATATTTGTGGTCTTCAAAGTAAAATTTCAACTGTTTAGTCATCTTTTGAAAAGTTTACCAGACATACTTGCATTTTGTAAGACTAATTTAAATTTGGATGTGTCATCTTGTGATCTAAGTGTTGATGGTTTTCTTCCTTTAATTCGTAAAGACTCCTATAGTCACATGTTTGGCTTAGGCATTTGCATTCAAAAGAATTCACACATTTATCAAGAAACTAGGTTTGAATCCACAGATTATTTTTTTTATGTGTTTTCCGCATCACCCTATCACCTTTCTCTTTGTTCTATATCATTCTCCTTCACCTCAAGACTACACCCTTTTTGGTGTTATTTTTGATCAAGTTGACCAAGCCCTTTCTCTTAATCACTCAGCCAATATCATTTTTGTTAGTGACTTTAATGCTCATCACAATAAATAGCATGGTCATAGTGTCAGCGACTTTGGTGCAAGAGTTTAGTCCCACAACTTAAGCCTTTCTCATTCTATAACACAAATAGTCAATTTTTCAATTCGCTTTCCAGATAATCTTCATCATTAACCTACTCTACTCAACTCTTGTCTTGTTTCTAATCCTAGTCAATGCTCACATTTACTTTTAGGCGCTTTTGATCACAGTTTGACCTCTATAAAACTATTATTTCATTCTTCTTTATCATAAAAAATTACCCTATCATTGTACACCTTATAAGTACCTTAAAGCTAACTGGGACTCTTTCCCAGTGGGGAGATCTTCAAAAAGCATACGAAAGCTTATGGGGAAGGGGGATAAGGGTTTCATTTAAAAGTAAGCTCATCGATTTTCTAATTTATCACAATTAACCAGATTAATCTTTAATCAATAATTAATCAATTAATTAATCAATAAAAGAGTTAAAATTCTGACTAAAGATCCTAGTTTGTCAACATAAAAAGATGTTTGGTATAGGGAGTATAGGGTATAGTTTCCCTCAATGCACACACATGCATGGGAGCCCACAGGAATTTTTGATGTTTCAGATAGGACACTTTCACACATTGTGCAAACTCCAAACTCAAGTATGTTTATACCTATGCCAAATGAGGAGGCCTTGCTAAAAATTAAAAAGGCAGAGGCCTGGGAGCAAAAAAGCTCTAAAATGCCCCCCCCCCTCCTAAAGAAATTGAGGAAGGTGTAAATTTTGTATGGTCATAACTTTTGTAATTTACAATATTTTTCTATGAAATTTAAAATCTGTCGATAAATTTAAATTCAGTTTTAGATAGTAAAGTTAAAATTTTAATATATTAGTGTACTCCTGCTTGGGCAGGGGGTAAGTGCTTTAGGGGTTTTTCGTTCCCAGGCCTCCACCACCCCAATTTTTTTTGCAAGGTCTCCTCATTTGGCATAGTTATACTTAAGTTTTAGAGCCCGCATAAATTTCACACATTTGGCATAGACATACTTATGTTTGGAGCTTGTGCAAGCTCCAAACTTAAGTATACCTATGCTAAATGTGTTAAAGTGTTTTATCTAGAACATCAAAAAATCCTGCGGGCGCCCATGCACACATGCCACCCCTTATTTTCTTTGGAACTTGGAAGCAAGAAGAGGAAAGATTTCTTCCTTGTTAGAAATCTTTTGTTTTCCTGCTGACAAATGTGCTTCTTATATAACTTCTTATGGATTCAGGCTGGCATGGAATCTTTTATTCCCTCTTGAAGATTTCAAGTCAAGTCTCATTCTTCTCCATGATTTTCCTCTCATTGTGCTGCTGCAATTTCCAATTGTAAACATTATTTATATGTGTATCACCAAAACTCCAGAAAACAGATGTCATTTTTTAAATTTACATTAATGATCTCTCAAAAATTCTCACATCTAAGATGACATTGTTTGCTGATTATACTAACATTTATTCTTGTTATAAGAAGCCAACACTCTTTGATTACTCGGAGAGGAGACTTCAGCTTGGAAAGGCTGCTACAAAATGGGGATCTCAGTGGCTGGTAAACTTTAACTCAGATAAAACTCAATTTTTTTCAGCTAATCGCTATCACAATAATATAGATCTTCTGATATTTATGAACAGTAATGTAATCAATGAGTCATCTTTCCTTTGTCTTGTAGAATTAAATCTTATTTCCAATCTTTCTTGGAAACCATGAACTTAAACCCATTGCAAAATCAGCATCTGCTAAGATTGCATCTTTTTATCGTGCTCGTCACTTTCTTAATCCAGATTCTACTCTTTATCTCTATAAATCTCGAATCCATCCTTGTATGAAATACTGTTGCCATATCTGGAGCGGATCTTCAAATAATGCCCTTTCATTTTTAGACAAGGCGGAAAAATACATTGTAAAAATAATTGGTAATATTTATTATCAACTCTATTTAGAATGTGTAAAAATAGTTGGTAATAAACATTAAGAAGCAACACTTCACATCTTTGTATTGTTGCTTCTCTTTCTTTTTTTTATAAACAATATAATGAGCACTGCTCTGATGAGCTAGGTCTCTTGCGTCTATACTTCATTCTCTAAGCTTCTATCTATTAAAATTCATTATTGCATAACTGGTCATTCAATTAAGTGTTCTCTTTTTACTGTGACTGTTCTTATGTGCTCCAAAAAATTTTTTTTAACTTGATTTTTTTATTGGTTAGAATTCACTTTCTTCATCTTGTTTTCCTGATTCATATAATTTGCAATCTTTTAAGTCGTCTGTTAATTGTTATCTTGATCTAAACATCTTGAAACATCATCTTTTCTCTTTCAGTAACTTCTACCTCTAATAGTGGTTACTTGCAGCCTTGTTGGAAGTGAAGATGTT